ATGTGTTTTAGCATTTGAGAAAAACTGTAACAATGTGTTTTCTTATATGACAAGGCAGTAATATTTATAGAGAATTACACTGGTGCACAAGAATCAAAAGGAAGTAGCAAAATGTCAGAAATATAAAATTCCCATTAAGGAAAACCAGCCAATAATCAAATAGGTCTCAGAGACTACTGTAAACTTCTGTTTTTAATGTTTATATAGTTAGAGGACATGGAAACCTGATGACCAGTGAAGTGAGAGCAAACCAGACTGATTGTATGAAAGTAGCTGTTTGATAAATAACAGCCGAAGTCGAGTCGATTTTGATCATAAATCCCCAATTTTAGCCTTACAGTGCACACGTGGACATGAACAACGTCAGTGTAACAACGTCAGTGTAGCAACGTCAGTGTAACAACGTCAGTGTAACAACGTCAGTGTAACAATGACATTTCCACATTTTTGTGTGTGGAGTTATTATCAAAAGCATGCCATGATTTATACTTGCAGCCTTCTCGGAATAAAAGGAGCAAATTAAGACAAATAGAAACTCTTACTCCTGCTATCAATCAAAATTCTAATTTGAATTCAGTTTTGAATTTCTAATGCAAATTATTCATATTAAGCAAAATAAAAGTTCATTAAAAATATCTCTGTTAAACATTTTATGGGCAATACCTTCATTAGAGGACTAGAAACAATCATTTCTGATCAGTTTTTATTTTTATTGCTCTGTTTTTGCTTTTAATTCAGTTTAGTTTCAATCTTGGTTTTAATTCAGTTCAATTTTATTTATATAGCTCCAAATCACAACAACAGTCACCTCAAGGCGGTTTCTCTTGTGAGGTACAAACTCTACAATAATAGGTCCTAATTAATTATTATTTTATGGAGAAGGGATTTAGGAAAATCAGTACAGGTGTTACAATAAAGACACAGAACGTTCTGAAAGCAGTTGACTCGCAGTCATTTAAAGTGTCGATAAACTTTTCTATGTATTTTAATTAAACTTTTATCAAATCAAAACACTGTATTTTTACTTTATTTGAATTAGTTTTGCAAGTTCACAAAATTGTTTCAATTAGTTTTCAAAAATCTAGCTTTTATTCTTAAGTTGTAACTGAAATGTTTGGGTTTTTTTGTTTTTCACATCTAAATTTACTTTCAGTTAACTATAATAACCTTGGTGTCTACTGTTATGCATTAACCCCCATAAATCTCATATTAATGCACTGATGGTTTTGCATAAAGTAAGCATCTAAGTGTTAACAATAGAAGAGCTAAAGGACCAAAAGTTGAACATTTGCTTTTGACCTTTGTAGCTGGCCTGATGGGATAATCTGGTGTGTGTGAGTGTTTGTTGGAGAGTGTGTTTGCTGGTGTCCAGAGCATCCTTTGTGATGCTGGAATTAACTCTGACTTGTCACGTGCATGCGGCTGCTGACCTCCGGCCCCATTCAGGAACCATCCCCTGTGTGTGTGTCTGTGTGTGCGCGCGTGTGTTTTGTCAGAGGTAAAGATCAAGCTCAAACACAAGCAAAAATCATTGTTCCTGATGGAAAAAAAACTACAAATGCACTAGCAGAAACTAGCTTACTGTGGCTTTCACCTGCTTTGGGTGGATGACTTTGATAAAACCTCAAATTAAAAATAATAAATGGTCTTTATTTATATCTAGATCTATGCAAAAAGCACATTTTCTCATTCAACTTTAGCCTGCATGAGGCTCTCCTATTGGACGAATACTGCCTAAATGAATGGGAAAAGGACTGGTTGTTACACAGTGTTTTTTTACTTGTGCAATCAATGTACTTTGCACCACACCTCATTCGCCCATTCATACAAGAACTTATTTTCTACGTCTAAGAGCTTTCTATCTGTCATTCACACTCCAATGAACACACCCAAGGATACTTTGGCATGCAGAAAGAAGCTGCCTGGGATTGAACCAAAAACTCTGTGATTATCTCTACCTCCTAAGCCACAGCCACTTTGTGATTTTGTGAGGTTGTAAGACAAGTTGCAGTGTAACGATGCTGAACAATGAATGAAGGGTGCGCTTTATCGTCCACATGCAGCATTGTTTGTTTTTAGTGTTGTTGTTTTTTTTTCGATCTTCAGCCTTTAATGTCACTCTAGTTACATATTTAGAGCTTCCCCAAGAGTTCTCCAAGTTTGTCCCGTAAAACACTTTCTCACTTTTTCCATTTCAATGATTTATGTTTTTTGTCATTATCATTCGATAGAAAAAACCCCCAAAAAAAACGAGTCGATGAGTCTGTATTTGCTTTCATCCTTGATTTCAGCTCCTTGCAACTCCTCCGCTCTTCTCTCTTGTTACTGAAGAGTGACATGATTGCTGAAGCCTGATAATGTCATGAAAATAGAGCGTTTACTGCAGTACATGACAGTGAAATTCAACATCTCTGACTTGCTCTGCAACAGTCAAGTGCAATTGCAGCAGTGACAGTAACTAACTTAGTAACTTCACATAGCTTGTGAAGACTGTATCCATTTCTTAGTCACATATCTGTCCGAAAGGCTTGTTTTTCAAGAAATACATGGAAGGTTTGATTTCTTTGTGAGTGTAACCGCTCTCTCTTGTCTCTCCAATATCGTCATAGATCCAGAATGACACTTTAAAAGTATTTTACTTGAGACACAAACAAAAAAGTGGCAGTTTCAGCCATAATGGCCTTGCGTTATATTTAAACGTTCAAAAATCAAGTGTGAAATCCAGACAGAGAGGCCACATTCCAACGCTTGATCACTTCATTTTTGGTATATTCTGAAAAAAAATCTTAACAAAGAATTTGAGGCTTCAGACCACAAATCCGTAAAGTCTCACAATATAAACGGCAATGCAGACATACAGTGGGGCAAAAAAGTATTTAGTCAGCCACCGATTGTGCAAGTTCCCCCACTTAAAATGATGACAGAGGTCAGTAATTTGCACCAGAGGTAC